TTTGGGAACCCATGGACTAGAGCTGTGGTCACCAACCGGTAGATCACGATCTACCAGTCGATCTCAGGGGCTCTAAGAGTCGCTCTTGAGCCCTCTTTGAACTGTGCACCTGCGCAGTACATTTAAATTTGATTTCCTCATTTGAGGAGTAGCTACTCACCAAGCAACAACACAGGTGAGTAGCTGCGCAGAATGGTGGGAGCTGGGAGGTCGGGAGGGCTGAAACACCCTGGCCAGCTGGCTGTGGCTTTCAGCTGAAAGAGGCTGAACCGTGCTCCAGCTGATCAGGCGGCTTCTCCTCTGCGCCTGCCCACGTGGAGCGTGGGGCACCCTGGCTGAGCGTGTGAGAGAAGGGGGAGGCACCAGGAGGGTGCAGAGCTAAGGGAAGGTGCAGGTGCTAGGCGATTTTGGGGGTGAAGCAGAAGGGCAGACACCTGCAGGGGAGGGACCAGCACCAGAGGAGAGAGGCAGGGCAGGTGTGTAGAGGGAGATGTTAGGAGAGGGGATGAGGAAGGGTAGCTCGCATGATCAGAGTGGGGCTACTGAAGGAGTGGGCACAGCAGGGAGAGAAGAGCTGGTGGAGGGGGGCAGGTCTCAGGAAGGCTGAGGGCAGTGAGAAGTGCAGGAGTCAGGACAGCAAAGGAGGGTGAGGGTTGGGGGGCAGCAGGCACCAGGGGAGCTGATGGAGCAAGGGGAGGAGACATGGCAGCAGAGGGAAAAGGTAGAAGTTTATAAGATATTTATTAATAACTTGGGTGCCAAAGTGGCACATCCAAACAAGCCACATGAACTCAGTACTTGTGCACAACACAAAATTCATTCTGCTCATGGGAGGAAACTCTGAGAGGGAACACTTCCCCCAGCCTCTCCGCCCCGGAGTTAATGTCACACACATTGGGTTAATGCATTTGCAGGATAGTTGCATGAGGGGGGATTTGTGGGGGCCAAACTAATCCTTATTGGTAGGAGGATGGGGGGAAAAGTCCTTAGAGGGGGGTCACATGACATCTTTTACTTCTGGTCATGTGTCCATCTTGCCCGGAGAGTGTTACCTCCAGAGGTGTGGCTAATGGGGGTCAGGGGCGTGGTTAACAGGGGTCAGGGCTGTGGCTAATGGGGTCAAAGAGTACATTTTAAAAAAATTCTTTGGGTGCACACCCTAATGAAATGTGCTGCACACGTCTATGAATGAGGGTTACAGAAGTCGGAGTCAGAGTACAGAAGTAAGAAGCCCGTTATTTCAATATTATTTTGAAGTAACATGCTTGCTGTGTAGACATTCATTTTGTTATTTCAAAATAACGCTAGTTATTCTGAAATAACGCTGCTGTGTAGACGTGCCCAAAAAGTCCTAGTAATATAAGCAAGAAAGACCATCACCTACTGCAGTTGCTCAGGCAGAAGTCGGAGTCAGAGTACAGAAGTAAGAAGCCCGTTATTTCAATATTATTTTGAAGTAACATGCTTGCTGTGTAGACATTCATTTTGTTATTTCAAAATAACGCTAGTTATTCTGAAATAACGCTGCTGTGTAGACGTGCCCAAAAAGTCCTAGTAATATAAGCAAGAAAGACCATCACCTACTGCAGTTGCTCAGG